TTGATAAAATAAATTACAAATGTTGTATTGTTCGATACATATGCTTACCGAACCGAAAGCACTGTATCGAACGGTTCAATATCGATACGAATATCGTTGCACCCCTAATAAATACTACATGGTCTAAATAACTGCAGTGTCTTACATTCTGAATTTTTATGACACATTGTATGTGTGACTTGTAGCATTTTGACTCTCACCAAATATCTGTATTGAATGAGTATAATATCATAATAAATCAAAATGAAGCCAAATCAGTGAAAAACTCAACCGGTAATCATCTGCCACCTTCTGTTGGTTGATTTTCAAATCTAACAGAAATACAAAGATGGAAATGGTGTGATGGAACAATACAAGTTTAGAAACTATGTGGGGGGAAAAGGACTGGGGAACTAAAAGAAAAAAGATTATGATAAAGTGAGGGGAAATGGATAGCAGAAAGAGGGAGGAGTGATTAAATTAATAGATGGATGATGGAATCAATTAATGAATGTTAATGTGCTACAGTGTAACTGGGGATTGCAATGTCATTGCCAAGGGTCTTATAGGTCTCCAGAAGGGGGAGCCATGTGTCAGTGACTCTTGTCTGTGTCAAAGACCTTTATCAGTGCAATAAAGTGTGTGTGTGTGTGTGTGTGTGTGTGTGTGTGTGTGTGTGTGTGTGTGCACACGCACACATACACACTGCTAAACACTGAATAGTCAGAAGGTGGCTCTTTGTTTCCTCATCTGATCTGATATCGTTACTACCAAACCAAATTTTCCTGTGTCAGCGATGATCAAGCGAGATGAGGATGCAAAGAGAAAAAGGCATGTGTGTGAGTCTTTGCTCTCTTGTGCATGTCACACTGTGCATGTGCATGTGTGAGTTTGTATTGGCAGCTGATAGCATTTTAGGAGCTGAAGCCTATATACAGACTGGCGACCCTCTAAACTATCGACAGCTGCCAATTGTCGCTCTAGTGAGTGACAGTTCTCTATTGATGGACGGGATCTGCTGACAGAGAGATGAAGGACGAAACAATAGGAAACAGAGCCCTATTGGTGGAGAGGGCCAGAGGAGACAGTTAAAAAAAAAGAGGGAAAAAAAGGTGTACACTAGCAGGAGCTTTGAAACTTTTTGAAGGTTATGGTAAGAATAGGAAGGAAAAGTTTTGGATCTGGATCAGTTTACCTTTAACTCTATCATGAGACATCACTGCAGTTATACAGTGCATAGTACCCAGACACCAGCAACGCCACTAGTAACCACTAGTTCTCACTAGTTTTCTTTACTTTTAACTTACTGTATAATTGAATGGAAAGTGGCCATTACTATTACTTACTGTCCTAAATGCCACCACCTCAGATTGGAGCTGAGACACTACATGTAATGTAATGAAATTCATAGAAATGTGAGTGTGAGCCACTAAATCAAGCATGGGCTAAACAACAGGTGAGGTGACTTCACCAGTTTCTGTTAGACATTCCTCTTTTGTCCTAGGTTATTCTTTTTGCTGCTTAACTTTCTGGTGGCTGGCCTTTGATGCGGAAGAAACCCCTGTTTTTTTTATTTTTCTTCAGAATATTGACAGAGTAGTTTTGAATTTAGCTGTGTCTTCTGTTTGACCTTTGCAGTCCATCTCTAACATACACACAAAAATAGAACAAGCAAAAACATCTTGTATATGGATACAAATACAGTGCACACAGTTGTGTCTATATGTCTTTGTGTCTGTGCGTGTTGCCTCACCTCAGGAAACTTGTGGCTAATTCCATTAGTGGGTGGAGAGAGCATGTAAATGAGGGGAGACAGCTGTTAGTGAAGGGAGGTTGATGGAGTAAGCCTGGGGGGAGTGGGGAGGCGCAGACACACACCCACTCACAAACTCACATGCACAGCACTACACTTCACATACGTATATCTTTTTTTCCTTAAAAATATAAGGAGACCCAACTGAACTTATTTTATGTGTATGCCTTGGAAACATGCCAGATTATTAGTCTTAAAGGCCATGCATTCATGGTTACACAGAGTCATCACACATGCTTTAGGGGAGTTGTGACATATTTGCTTTTATTTTACGTTACAGTATATAATATAGTAGGCAGTATGCAGGAAACTGTAGCTGTAGGAGGGATTATGTCTATATGCATATACAATTTACAACTGTATTTTCTTCAACTCAATATGTGCACTCATGGTTTTACTTTATATTACCCACCCAACACAGTCTGTTACATTAAACTTTTTTAGATATAATGGCTGTAAGTAAAATTGTGTGCATGCACAAAGGTAGAAAAGTGCATATGCTCTGCTTTTGTAAAGATAATAAATTCATGTGTGCTCATGACACCTTTTTAAATAAATGTAATATCTTATTAAATTATTTTCTCTTACAGTTTTACCCAGTGGATGAAGACATTACCCAGGGATTCAACTGCACATAAAAAATGCTCTTTGCATCACAAGGTATTATGCTTGTCAATGAAAACGACACCAAAGACAAAACCCAGTTTAATCAATTGTAACTGCGTTCTCCCCTAATTGTTCCCTGACTTTTCCACTATGCACATCGGAGCGTCACTGAAATGTAATCCACCCCAATAAAAATCTTTAGTGGGAAAAAGTAACAGTTTGTAAACTCAGTAAATTTAGAGCAAAGGTCATTAGCACACACAACAAAAAAGAGTTATGACACCAAAGCAGCTATCTTTACTCATCAGGTCCATTACATGCAGCAGCTATTTATATCAAAAATACAAAGAGGATTGATAGATATAGCACACAAGCACTTACGTATAGCGAAAGTAAGAAATACAGGCTCTGTAAGTCAGGCTTTTTCCATGTATTTTTGCTTACAACACCAAACTTTACCGGGCTGCCTGAAGTCTGTATTACTCACACATAACATATTCAAAATACATCTTGTACATATGTGAAGTACTCTACGTGTGTTTGTATGTTTGTATGTATTGGCACTTGGGGCTAATGGGTAGGGGGTGGGGGGTAGACTAAGGGTCCAGATGGTTGGAAAGATAGATGTAGAGGTAGATAAAGACAAAGAAAGAGGGAACAAAGGAAAGGCAGAAGAACACACTGTTTATCATTCAGGAGACTCTCCCCAATGATCACTGCCCAGCTAGCACACATACATACACACAGGTATGTGTTGGTCTTAATCCTATTGTGTAGCAGTGACCAGAGTGTGGGAGTCTCATCACCTGTCTCCTCTCCCCCTCTCACATACACACACACAGTGATGGAGTATAATCCTGTCAGTAACTGTGATGGAATTTAGAGAGGATTTAATTTTTATAATTCTACCAGCATACTGTGAATCATGGGAGCAAAAAGTAAAGTCCAGAATATCTGTGTAAGCACATACACATCTCTGTCTTTTGGTGCAATGTGTTTTTTACATCTCAGTCTTTTATTCTGCTGTTCCAGTATATTCATTTTAGGTCTCTTTTAAAAAACATATATATTCACTTCATCCATTAGTTTTCACACAAAAAATGCTAAAATAAAATAAAATATTTATGATTTCTTTACTCTCTTGTGGCAGTTTTACATAATGTAATCAAATTAAAGTGAACACCACCAGTGTGCAGCTGGAAGCGTCTGTAGGGAAATAGCTGCAGATGGGAGCCATGAGGGTTGAAACTACTAAATGGCGCTGAATGCTCATATATATACATTAAACTGTCCTAAACAGGGGCAGCATGTTTAAACTGTACCAGGGTGGTTTCACTGTTTAGTGTAAGATATTGTTGGCTGAATGTGCTTGATTGACGGGAAATTGGAGAGGAGTCTGGGCAGTCTGTCAAATTGTTAATATGATAGGTAATACCCCAAGGACGTGCACATACGCACAAACAAGAAAGTGACTCCCTTTCTATCAGCCTTTCCCTATCAGTCTCTCTAAACACTCCTACATGTACCTGAATTTCTTTACGTCGCTGTCTTTCATTTTCCTTCCCACACACGGACAGCTTTCCAGCTTTTCTCTTCACATATACTCTCCCTGTGACTTAATCTTTCACACACACCTATATATGCACTCTGTTTGGCTATGTGGCATTTTACTGCAGGTTAATAATGAGAGGAGAGGTGTGTGACCCTGTCAGAAGTGTGAGAAACTGACCCAAAGACATCAGACAGAGGCCGAGACCCCCCAACCCTGAGGGCATTAAAGTGTGTGCGTATAATAGTGTGTGTGTATGTGTGTGTGTCCATCCCCGTCTTCTCATAGATGACATATGTGGGGTCATTTACATACTATTACCTTTCTACTGGATATGAGGAATTACACACACTCACACACACAGAAAGGTGGATTGGCCTGGTGTGATGTCCCTGTCAGATGTCAGGCTGCAGATGGGATGAAATAGAGGGGGGTAGGTCACGTCTGTTTCCTTTTTTCTCTCACACGAGCACATACACTCACAGACACACACCTGTCTTGCCCCTAAGGTGCCCAGTTACTAAGAGAGTTGTCAGCAGGTCTGTGGGAAGCCTCAACTGTTTGACATCTGCCAGAAAACTCCCAAAACATGCATGCATGCACATATCCCCCACCACCTCATTTCAGAACAACAGAGCATCTCCCAATGATCAACATTTAGATACAGTCATCACTTACTGGTCCCAGCTGCCACACACACAACACACACACTCCTCAGGAGAAATAAATAAATAAATAGAGTTATGGGCTAGTGGAGAGATTGAACTGCAGACAAGTTGGTGATGAAAAAAAGAAAAGCGAAGCGTATATGTGTGTGTCAATATGTGGATGTGTGTTAATGTTTGTATTTTCTCAGCTTTTCATACTTACACTCAGAGTGATAGAGAGACATGTTTCAATTTGTCCCACTTTCATAGAAGATAATGAAGCTGTCATTCTCAGACAACTTCACTGGATTGGTACAGGACCACAGACTGCTGCTCAGGGAGACACACACACACACACACACACATCTACCTAAGTGTGCAGTGCTGCAAGCGATCCCCCTGGCCCCTGTTAAGCATATGTCAAATATAACCATGTATAGAAAGCAAGATTGTGTGACATATGTACAGCTGGCTGAATGGCAGACACAAATCGTAGAGTAACACATACACACGAACACTCAGCTCGTATCTTTAACATGCAAACAGACAGACAGCTCTGATAGCAAATAAAATGAAATCAACCTTGAATAGCAAAATCCTCTGTGAATACTTGTCTCTTCTTTACAAGTCAATTTCATATCCTGTAGCTCAAGACAAACCTAAAGAGATTTGAAATTGATGTAGAAACAGACAGAGGGTGGAGGGGGAAAATGGGTTATAGAGAGAAAGGGAAGAAAAGAGGGAGAGGAGACCTTGGTGAGAGCCAGGATCATAGGTTAAATGGGGGTTGAAAAATTATAACTTACCATTTACAAGTGCAATGTCCATGATGTATTCAGGAGATCTGATGAAACTGTTATTCTTTTAAGAGCGTTTAATACATGATGACTTGTAATGAGTTCAGATTATTTGCTGGGATCATGGAAAGCATTATGCTTCTCCTCTTTTTTCTTTTTTTAATTATGGGTGGTATTGGCTCTCTGAAATGGGCAGGGATTTTACATGCACTTAATCACACAACTAAGAGGTGACAAATGTAAGTCCGAGTCATTTGGGTCAAGTGCCTATACCGTTGTATTTTAGCTAATCAAGTAGTTCAGTTGCCTAAATCAATCAAAATCATTAAAAAAAAAACACTAAATCATGCCTATAAAAATAATTTTAATATTTTTATTTCAATTATAAAAACAGAAGAAACCTCGTTTCATGAGTGAAAAATCTTGACCCACTCCAATGCTGTACCTTTCTCCACCTAAAGCTGACTTTGTATTTTATGTTCCTTTCTCATGTGAGTGAAAAGTTTACCACAATAAAGTTCTCACTGTTGTAATGTTGTATTAAGAAACTTTGTGCTAAAATGTTACAACTACTGTTTTTGAGCTAACCGGTTGCTATGACTTAGACACCAAAGAGTTTCCAGTTAATGGTGTCCAGGCCTCAAAGTAACATTCAGACAAGGAATGCAACCTGAATCGTGAGTAGTGCAGTGAGAAAGTCTGCCAAATTCAGACTTGCAACAAAGAGTTTTGCTACAATTTCCTGAGGGATCTGGGGAGAACATTTGGCAGAAACTACCTAAACTGTGATGTGTTGACTCTGGCCTCTTCGCCAAAATAAAGTTCATGTTGACAGATCATCAGATTAACAGACTGGAGGATATCCAGCAAAGAGATTGAATGGGACTTGACAAACAAATCTAAAAAAAAACAAACATCTGGAGTGCTAGCAGCAGTGAAGAGGCGAAAAAGAAGATGACCTTGAAGGGTACATTAGCCAGTTTTTGATTCCTGGGACTATATGATCACATCTAATACTCTGGAATTTAGAGATCCACATACATTGCAAGAGATCTATAAAGGCCCTAAAGTTGGTTTTCTAGTCCTTTCTACCTGTCAAGCTCTAAAAACAAGTAATCCATCTTCTTATTTCACAATTTAGCATTATGTTTTAGTCCTTCATTAAGTCTATGCTTTTCCAAACTCATGGCTAAAAAAATGTCTCAATTTCCAAGCAATTATGACCCATCATGGTGTCACTAGTGTTATTTTCCTCTGACTTTAAAGTCCTTCCAGTGCCACCATTTTTACAGTCCAGGTTGCTCTTCATCTTGATTTGTGAACTGATCAAATGCATGAAATTATTACAGGGATCCTTTTATGGTTTTAAATAAACCAAAAACATTAACCATCCAAATATTTAATGCACTTAACAATGGAAAACCAAGAAAGAAAGACTAAAAGTGTCTGCGTTGTCAGTGAATGTGAACAAATGAGGGAAGAAGAAAGGAAAAATGAGGACAGCAGTTAACTTTTTTCAATCCGATCATCCTCACACCCACTCATCTCTCTCTATTCAAAGAAAGACATAATTACAGCTTTGAGTCTTTAGCCTCATAATTTACTCGTTCTGTCACATTATTTACAATTCTCTCTTTTTCTCTTGCTCTCTCTCTCCCCCTCTCTCTCTCGGCAGGGGTTCGCCCCTATAATCTAGTCTGTTAGGTCCAATCCATATTCCAAGTTATTATCACTCTCATTTGCTTATTAAGTGCTCCCTTGTTTTCTTCAAATAAAGTTATAATTAGAGATTTGGTGTCTGCAGCTTGAATTACTATCTCCTCTTTATGGAATCTTGGGTGGGATGAGAGAGAATCGTGTTTTATCATACTCATGGAGTTAATGAGGATGTGCACAGCTTGATATTGTGTTTGTATGTGTGTGAGGGTGTGTGCGTGTTTTCTAATTACGTCTCAGTGACAGCTTTCTGGCCTCCAAAGTATCCATATACTGTATACCCTCTGTTGTTTTGTTTTCCCACTGATTTATGTTAATGAAGTCAATCACAGAAGAGGAAATTCACTGCTTTATGTAGTGTTTGAGATTAAATTGCCATCATACTTCAAAGTAGTTGTTTATATTTTATTTGATAAGTATACTGATATATACATAACAGTATTTTGTACCACATAATTGTCTCTGTAGTTGCTTATTTAGCGTAAATTGAAACCGAGAAGACTTCAGTGTCA